GAAACCCTATACAGGGTCGCTATGGGTCAGAATCGACTCAACGGCACTTAACAACAACAACAAGGCAAGGAATGGAGTCCTGGTGTGGCGCTATAGGATAAGCACTGAACTGTTTATCACAAAGTCAGTGGTTCAAACACACCAGTTGCTCCTCTGAAACCCTAGATAGGTTTGCTATGAGTCAGAATCGACTCAACAGAACTGAAAAACAACAGCACAACAATCCAGATAATAGGTGAAAATTCCATTAATAAAAACAAAACAAAAAAACCAACGAGATGTACCGTAAACAAGGCAATATAGAATGATCTACTTTACAAAATAATTTACATGATTTAATTCATATACCAAGAAAGTGTGTCTATGAATAATTCTACCAGGACATGAAGAATGTCTTTGTGTTAGTAGTAGTGATTCGATGCCAGTCAAATAACTTATACTGTAATAGTAAAGAAAGCTAACCATTGAGTATTTCTCCTATTTGTCTTGGACAGTTTTCCCCAAAATATGCTCTTCAGATCCTGCATGAGTTAGTTACAGGGTGTGTCAAATCCTAGTCACTTTTTATATATTGTCAGTCTCAGAGTGGTAATTTCTTCAGTTCCTCACATGCCACCCTCCTTAGTCTATACCTAAGCTGTTAATTCTGGCTAAGTAGCCTGTCTTTGCTCCACATTTCTCCTTGAATGTATTCCTCTTGCTGAGCTGTGTCTACCCACTAGAGGTCATAAGAAAATGAGAAACAAAAATATGTATCAGTGTATACTAGTCTCAAAATATATACTACTTTTGAATATACAATAATTACTAGGTTGGGTCAAGAAAAGATGAGGGTAGAATTTAGAGAGTGGATACAAAAAGGGGGAGCGCGACCAGGCATGTTATCATAAGAAATGATATAGCAGGGAAAAGGAGATGGATCCCCAGAGGTGCATTGGTTAGTGTGCAGTTGCTAATCAAAATTTTGTTGGTTCGAATCCACTCAACAGCTCCACAGGGGAAAGATTTGGCAATTGCTCCTATAAAGATTATTGCCTGGAAAACCCAATGGGGCAAGTTCTACTTTGTCACTATGATGTCACTCACATGAGGTTACCATGAATTTAAATTAACTCAAATAACATTTAACATCAACAAGGGAGATGGAGAAATCAGAGAGAAGAGAGGAAATGATTGACAAGTGATATATAAGGAGACAGAATACAAAGGTGAAAAGAAAGACATTAGAGAAAGTGGAAATAATGAAAAAACTAGTGATGGTTAAAGATCATTTAGTATATAATGAGTGAAACAGGAAGAAAGAGGGAAGGAAAAATGGAAAGCTAGATATAGAAAGGTCAAGAGAGAGGAAAAAAAAGAAGCAAGAAAGAGAAGAAAGGAAATGGTAAAAGAAAAGAGGGAATAGGAGAAAAAAATGCCAAAAGAATATAGATTAGGAAAAAAAACCCTGACAAAGACCAACACATACACACAAAAGAACAACACTTCATGCTATACTGATGTACAGACTTCATACATAAAATGGACAGTTCATGTGCTTTTCAGTCTTGCAAAACCAGACAATTTTGCAAATAATGGGATTTTGAGAGAAAAAGGAAGCATCAGCAAGTAAAGGGAAATGAACCCAGCGAAGTGGTTTCCAACTTTTAAGGCAGTGGTAGTCATAGGTTTCCTGCTGTTAACGTCCATATTAATTTGTGACAGTGCTGGGTCCAATGACCCCCAGGTGTCCAACCTCATCAACACCACCTGGGGCACTACTCTTATTTGTTGGAATGAGGAAAAACTTAAGGATAACCAAGAGGGTCAGATACTTAATTGAGTCTTTCTAGAAAAGATTGAGAATCACTGGTATGGAGGATCAGTTATTTTCCTTCCCTAAGAATATGTGGTTGGGATAATCCCTAAACTTGAAGTAATACACAGTCTTGTACCTGGTCCTGTAGATTGGTCCCTTTTTTAAAGGATTCAAATGGAGTGTGTTCACCTGCATTTACATTCACACTCTTAAACTGTGCCCCAGTAGCTAACTCAACCAATGTGTTAGGATTTTCAGTAGGTAAAATTGGATCTTCTTCAAATGGGCCTTCCTTTCCATTGCTAAGTTGAGTTCCAGTGCCAGAGAAATGATGCGTTGCTAATTTGGAACCAAAGCATGGTAACTGTAGGATGCTTGATGGCCTTGGTTGCTGCATTCCATCCTCATTTCCTTGGACTTCACTTTGGATTGCTTCTGGTTTGGGGTTTTTGTCAGTGATACCTATCACAAGCTGCTCAGGGGTGAGGTCAATCATTCTTTCACTAGGTTGGTTGCCTTCAAACATTTGTTCTATAATGTTGTTCCCATCTCCGCCAAGATCATTTTTAAGACAAGGAGTATTCTTTGATTGAAGGGAGTTGGTTTCAGGAAAGGGCATCATTCCCCTTTGACCCAGTTGATTTTTTATAGAACATGGTGTGTTCCTCCTCAGGGTGGACACATCATCTCTAAAAGGACTTGGGTTTTGGTTTTCCTCAGGCAGCCTTTTTTCTGAACTGTTTCTTTGGCTAGGTAAGATACTTGTTGGGGAGATGATATGTCTTGCATGCTTAGTATGACTACTTTCTGTATAGAGAGGGCTGGTGTCTTGGTTCTCCCCTGGTGCAAGACCAAAGGATGGAGTGTAGTCTTGTAGAGCAAGTGGATTATCCTTGGGTTCTGTGGATCCTCCAGCACAGCAGGGACCTCTTTGGTTTTGGTGAAATAAATTTGCTTCTTTTTGATCAGGTGGGTAACTTTGAGGAATTAAGTCTGGGAAAGCCAAACGTTCCCCTTCTGGTGAATTTAACCTAGTAATTTGCACACCATAGTTCAAATTCTCACCTTCATACCATGGTGGATTTTTCTGAAGCCCGGCTGGGAAGTTATTGGAATAGGGCTGGTTTTCTCTATGGTCTGGTGGGATAGCTGGAAATTTATGTGAATTTGCTGCCTGATCCAAGAAATTTCTGTTAAAATACAGCCCTCTTTCTTTTGGACCACGAGCTTGAATCCTATGGTCCCAGGAATTCCAAGGAGGAAGTTGAGTGTTTTCTTCTTGTCCAACAACATTATTAACATAATAGCCCCTGCTCTCCACAGGTGGTGATATAGTAGGAGCTGTATTATATGATAGAAAATTATCATCTGGGCCCCAGGGGTAAAATTCATCATATGGAAAATCTTCTCTGGGTTTTAGGGGGTTATCCAAGGAATAGGGAAGGTGTTCTTTTGGCTGATTTGAGGCATATGGTTGGCTTTCATAGTACCTAACTGTCGGGCTTCCTTTAAAACTAGATTCTTCTTCACCCCATCTACCTGGTCCTGGGAACGGTTCATCTCCAGTAGGATCAGTTGGGTCCTCTTCATTGTAAGGGATTGTCTCTTTGTGGTTTGGAGTATTCATAGGGTACAGTGGATTTTCTGGTTGCCCCATGGTATTGGGTGAATCACCCCTCTCTTCCCATGTATTTCTCCTAAGGTATGGTGCGTTTTCTCTGGGATCATAGGGATTATATTCAGAGTAGAAAACACTTCCTCGAGAGCCATGGGAAGGATGAGGCAAAGGTCCTTCCTGCCTTCTAAGATTTTCCTCAAGAGGTGGAGAGATTTCTTGGTGGTTCCAATGGTTTCTTACAGGAGGAAAATGTTCTCTCGCAGGGGAAGGGATTTCCTCAGGGTATAGGGTATGATATGTATTGTGCTTTAATTCTGGCTGATTAGTTTCTGATTCATATAGGATTCTTGGCTCTAAAACAATCCCTTTGGGTAAATGCTGGTTTTGGATTTGTCCATCAGAATTTTGAACTTTTCTGGACTCTTCCCTTGGGTAGTAGGAGTTTTCACGTTGATCAATGGAATTAAAACTTGGGACTTGTGTGCTGCCCTCAGAACGAGGTAGTTGATAATTTGATTTATTAACTCCATAAACTTGAGAGTTTTTCCAGGGGCCAGTTGGATCCCTTGTAGGAACAACTACTCTTTCTTTCTGACCTAGTGGCTTCTCCCTTGGATTTTGGACTTTTTCATTGTGGACAACAGTACCATGTTTGGTTCCCAATGGGGCAACATTGACTCCCACAGGGGGTTTGTTTGGTCCTTGAAACTTTCTTATGAAATTCGCTCGATTTCCTGCCTGATTGGGAGAATTACTTCTTGAAATGGAAGCATAAGCTTTGTGAAAAGCTGGATATCCTTGGCGAGCTATTTGTTTGCCTTCCAAAGTAAAGGCGTTCCACTGAGGACCCCTTTGAACTTGTTGATTTCTGTAAAAAGGCCTGTTCTGTCTGGGCCCTAAGGCAGTACCAGTGGAACGCCATTGTCTTCCTGTTGGAAAACCTCGATTTGGATAATTGTCATGATAATTTGGCTGTCTTGGTCCCCAAGGGATTTGACTTCCTGGTACTCCCTGGTTTGAAATATTAACTGTAGGGGGTGAAATGACCCCATTTTGAGCTGTAGGGTTTGGGCCATTACTGTTTCCTGCTGGGGCCGTGTCATTTCCGCCCTGACTCCCTCCAGGACTAGGCACATTTGGTTGGGTTGAATTAGTCTCAGAAACAGTTGAATTCGTTGTGGGCTCTGTAGCTGGACTCTCTGCTTTAGGGGGATCTTTTTCTTTGGGTTTTTCAAAATCTTGTTCAAACATCTCTTCAGAATAATAAGGAGGACGACCCCCAAATCCATGATATCCGAAGTATCCAAAGTAAGGATTCTGTAGGAGAGAATAAGAAACTCAGTAATTATATTTTGTTTCCTATAAAGGTATTGTTTGGATTTTTTAACTTGTGATTGGGATATCAAACCAGTCACATACTTCTTTTACACTATTGGCTTTGCTTTCTTTCTTGACATTTGATGCTTTTTTGCTTTCCATACCCTTACTCCCCTCTGCTTCTCTCTTTTTTTTTTTTTTTTTTTTCAGCCTTATCTTCCTATGCCTGGTTACTAAATATGTTTTTATTCTTTTTTCTTTAATGGGCTGTATTTTTTGTCCCCCTCATTCTACTGTTAGCACTTTGTACACCTGTCTTGAGCAATCCACTGCAGGTTCATAACTTCAATATGAGCACATGTCAATGAGTCAGAGGGTTCAGGACACCATCTCCTTGACGTTGAGACAGCAAGACTGTGCTATTAAAGGTCTCATAAGTACCTCCAGTGTACCCAGAATTGGGCTAATTTCCCTTCTTCTCTAGTATTCTGTATTATTTAAGCAACATCTGCTCAGTTTCTGATCTCTCCTGTATTTTTCCTAGACAATTAATGGCCCCAAACTTTCATTTTTGTCCCCTTTCCTTTATCCTTATTACCCCTGAACTAAAACAATGTTTTTCTTACTGGTTACTTTAAGCTGGCTTATATGAAGAAAAATGTGGCATCAGGATTGGAGAAAGACTCATTAAGAACCTGCGATATGCAGATGATACAACCTTGCTTGCTAAAAGTGAAGAGGGTTTAAAACATTTACTGATGAAGATCAAAGAGCACAGCCTTCTGATCAATTACATCTCAAAGTCAAGAAAACAAAAATCCTCACCACTGGACCAATACACAGCATTCTTATCAATGGTGAAAAGATTGAAGTTGTCAAGGACTTCATTCTTCTTGGATCAACTATCAACACTCATGGAAGCAGCAGTCAAGAAATCAAACGACATATTGCATTAGGCAAATCTGCTGCACAAGATGTCAGCTTGAGAACTAAGGTGTGCCTGGCCCATGCCATGGCATTTTCAATAACCTCATATGCATGTGAAAGCTGGACAGTGAATAAGGAAGATAGTAGAAGAACTGATGCATTTGAGTTATGGTGTTGGAGGAGAATATTGAAAGTGCCATGGACTTCCAAAAGAACCAATAGATCTGTTTTGGAAGAAGTGCAGCCAGAGTGCTGCTTAGAGGCCAAGATGGCTAAACTTTGTCTCTCATATTTGGACAATATGTCGTTTGATTTCTTGACTGCTGCTATTGTCAGGAAGGACCAGTTGTTGGAGAAGGATATCATGTTGGTAAGGTGGAGGGTCAGAGAAAAAGAGGAAGACCACCAATGAGATGGATTGGCCAAGTGGCAGCATCGATGGACTTAAATGTGGCAACAGTGGTGAGGTTGGCCCAGGATCGGGCAGTGCTGTGCATAAGGTTGCGATGAGTCGGTACCGACTCAATGGCACCTAACAACAACAAACTTTCTATATAGTCTTACTTTCCTTTTGTAATCCTGCCTCTCCACCTGCTTTTGGAGTAGTGGAGGTTGAAAGTAGGTGGGTGGGAGTTCTGTCATTTTCCTTATTAATTATGTATTTAAGTTGTTCTTACCTTATAAGATAAACTAAACCCCTTTGCATAACCTACAAATCAGTACAGTATGGTGCTAAAGAGTGGGGAAATTTAGACAGACCTGGGTTAAAATTCTTGTTCCACTAGTGTAGTAGTATGACTCTGGGTTAACCTCAGTTTATTCATTTGCAAAATGGAGATAATAAGATAATATCTACTTCATAATTGTCATGAGGGTCAAATATAATAACATGTAGAGGGCTACGCTCAGTGTCTGGGGCATAGTTAGTGCTCAATGCATGTTATATAATCATTATCACATAACTCATAATGAATATAGTCAACCTCATTTTCTTGTACTTTATGCAGTAACAAATGACAACTACTTCTAGTTCTCTGAGAAGTCTATTGTATGTTTCATTGCCTTTGCACATGGCTTTGCATACTGAAACTTCCCCCATCTATACATTTATCTTTCCTGGCAAACTGATTCATCTTTCAGGGCTCAGGTTGAATGCTATCTTCTCCGGGAAGCTTCCCTGATTTCCTTGGGCTCTACTCCTAAGAATCCTCAGCAGTAATGATTTCTGTTAAGACACTGGATTTCATTTGCCTGCTTTTCTGGGAACTTCTACTTGATTGTAAAGTATTTGAGTGAAAATATTATACTTCTCATTTTGTCCAGCACCTAGCAGTGGGAAGTGCTTAATAAGTTTTTGTTTAGTAAATGATTAAATTAAGTATTATGAGCTTTGACAGTCAGTCAGTAGGTTTTTAAAGACATTTGTGAGGCAATTAGAGAAAAAGTTTATTTTACTCCCATTTGTGGATAGAGATGACAAGGACAAGTGAGAAGATATCTCCATGATTATTTAGGAAGTTTGCCAGATGGAATACAGACTTTTTAAAGTCTGTGCTAGCTGCCTCAGTCATTCTGTTTCATGTTCTTATGTTTGTAAAAATTTGGCTGCAACTTTCTAGGCTGAATACAACTATAGTAACGATTTTTTATTTGGGAGTATTGCACTATTCCATTTTTTAGGGTGATAAACCAGTTCATGTCATTTTGTTGTTAAGTGCCGTTGAATCGATTCCGACCCATAGTGACCCTGTATAGGGTTTCCTAGGAGCAGCTGGTGAGCTTGAACCACTGACCTTGCAGTTCAAATGGCTTTGCAGTCTAGCTCTGAAGGATTTTTGTTTAAAAATATTAGAGATTACTATGTTATTAATGACATTTCATTTCATTAATACTGGACCAATAAACACCATTCTTATTAATGGAGAAAATGTTGAAGTTGTCAAGACTTCATTCTTCTTGGATCAACTATCAACACTCAAAGAAGCAGCAGTCAAGAAATCAATGACATATTGCATTAGGCGAATCTGTGGCACAAGACCATTTTAAAGTGTTGAAGAGCAAAGATGTCAACTTGAGGACTAAGGTGCGCCTGACCCAAGCCATGGTAATTTTATTAATGACATTCAGTAATCTCTAATATTATTTGTAGCATAGTGGTTACGAATCAGGCTGTGAACTGCAAGATCAGCAGTTCAAAACTACCAGCTGTTCCGTGGGAGAAAGTGGAGGCTATCTTTTTCCCTAAAGATTTCCAACCTCTGAAACCCTGTACAGGGTCACTATGAGTAGGAACCAACTCCATGGCACATAACAACAACAACAAATATTATTTTAAGAACAAAATCCTTCAGAGCTATTGAATTGCTACATGTCACTGAGGAGGCATCACATATTTATGGAAAAAGGAAAAGTAAGCTCCAAGTGGGGTGTTGTACTACAATCACAAAAATCACTTCTTGAGGACATTGTGCTATATTTGTTTCTTCTAGCAAAAGAGTCAGGGGATAGAGAGTCAGAAGGTGAAACTTGCTAAGCTTCAATTCATTTGCACAATCACGGAGTTGTTGTTGTTGTTGTTAAGTGCCAATGGAGTCAGTTTGTACTCATAGGGACCCTGTCTGAGGAACAGCTGGTGGATTTGAACCACTGACCTTGTGGTTCAAACTGACTTTGCTGTCCAGTGCGTTATCCTGCGGTGTCACACCCAGTGAAAATGTTCTTGCTTCCTTTCTGTTTACTAATTGCGTCATCACTATCTAGGGTTCAGCACCAACCTGGAGCAGAGCTTATCAACCTTTGAGGGAGAGATTTACACAGACATGTAAAATGAAGTTTCCATACATGTAGAGGAGATATCATACTTCACATTTGTTTTTAGGTTCCTGGCTTGATTTGGTTAAAAATTTTTTTTTTTTTTTTTCTTTTTAAGTCCTGGGTGCTTGAGCTACAGATTCATATGCTGGGTTTTAACTTTGTTATTAGATAGGGATCAATAAGGCGGAAATTAAAGGACTGTAATTTCCAATTATAACTTTACTTACCCCACCTTCTTCATTGCTGATTGGTGGGCGACCATAACCTGGTGGTACCCTCTGAAAGATGAAAAAACCCAGTAAACACAAGAGCAAACCACTTTCTATGGCTTGTAAGACTTAATAGCCAAAATTAAGTTTTAGATGCTAGCAGTGTTAGTTTTTAGCTTCTGAGTCATTAGCTTCTATATAACATAATCTGCTGTGAAGACTGGTAAATTTAAAAGCCTCAGCTGGATCCTAAATGATCTTATTCAAAGGACTCTGTATGGTAGCTTCTTCTAACAATTGTCCCTCCCTACCACCTCCAAGTCATATGGATGCGAAAGCTGGACAGTGAATAAGGAAGATCGTAGAAGAATTGATGCCTTTGAGTTTTGGTGTTGGAGGAGAATACTGAAAGTGCCGTGGACTTCCAAAAGAACCAATAGATCTGTTTTGGAAGAAGTACAATCAGAGTGCTCCTTGGAGGCTAAGATGGCTAGGCTTCGTCGCTCATACTTTGGACACATTGTCCGGAGAGAACAGTCGCTGGAGAAGGATGTCATGCTGGGTAAGGTGGAGGGTCAGAGAAAAAGAGGAAGACCCCCAACGTGATGGATCAGCCAGGTGGCATCATTGATGGCGTCAAGTGTGGCAGCGGTAGTGAGGTTGGCCCAGGATTGGACATTGTTTCGTTCTGCTGTGCATGGGGTTGCTATGAGTCGGTTCCGACTCGATGGCACCTGACAACAACAACAACAACAGCCTCCAACACACACATGCTCACATAAAACACACACACACACACAAACACACAAACTCACACATGCAAAGAAAGATTCGGAGTAACGGGAACTCAAATATCCGTATTAGAGCAGCTAAGAATGGAAATAAAATAATGATGTTATTTTTAGAATGTATACTTCACACTTAAGGGTGATAAATGGATAATCCTCCTTTGGTTATTGCTATAATACTTTTATTTGAATGAGGTTAATTTTCTTAATCAGATTAAGACATTGAGTTTCTGCTCAGGGATTTCTACATAGTGGAAGGGCTTAGAAAAGCAGTTTCAGTTCCCACAGCCTCTCAAGAAGGTCTTTGTAGTTGAGATTAACAGCTACTTTGCATAAGGAAATCTTTACCTGGTACTGCCTTAGTTTCCTTAATTCAGGCTATCCTGAATTTAAAAAAGCTTAAAAAAAAGTACCTCTTTTCTGGAAAAAAAGCTAAGAAACTCTTACACCTGGAAATAAATTGTTTCTTGTAAACAACAAGTCTTCTTTGTATAGAACAGAAAGACCAGTAGCATTGCTGAATTAACACTCTTCAAATATTAGTTGCTGTTCTTGTTAGTTTAACAGCAGTTGACATTTAACATTTCTTTTATTCAAGTAGATTACTTTGCCATCCCTATTTTAATGACTATGATTCAATATCAACATTATGTGTTATTTTAATTTAATGTTTTAAATAATTCTTATAAATATTATTTTATAAGATTCTTTATAATAATGCATTTGTGGTTAAAAATAATAAGATAGGATGAAAAGATCTTAATCTAAGCATAGTTTGTCTTATGATTTTCAAACTCCATTTTGTCCCAGTTCCCCATTACTTTAAAGGAGAATACTCTTTGTGTTTTCTAATCTCTTAGTGAAGTGGGAAACAGCGATGAGGTATTAAGAACAAGTCCTTAAAGTTAATAAGTTAAGTTATTAGTAGTGATTTAACTTGTGTTCATGCCATCAATCTGGATGAAAATCCCTTTATTTATTTATTTTACATGATTACTGAGGGTGAAGACATTATTTCTTTAAATCCTCTGATTGGCATATGACATTCCATTAGAATGTATGAACTCTTATTAGTTTGAGATATAGCAGGCTAATAGTATTTTTCACTTCTGGTGTAAAGAAGAAACATTCTCACCTGTGGAATTTGCCATGGTGGTTGTTGATAAGGAAATAGCCCAGTATTGAATGGTGGGAATGTCTAGAGAGAAAGAAAGAATCAAAGTGATATGGAAGTGTGAACAATAAATGGAAGATGAAATGAACCAGCTAAACATAATTATTTGAAACCTGGGAATCTTCATATCTCTTTCCATTAAAATGTTTTTTTTTTTTTTTAAAGAGCAGAGACAATGATAGTATTATTGAATATTTATGTTTTAGCATTGTATCATCATTTTATGTTGATGAACTCATTTAATCCTTACATAACCCTAGAAGGTATATGCTAATATGATAACCATTTACTTAAAACTGTGAAGTTCAATGAAGTTAAGTTACTTGACCAAAATCTCTTAGCTGGTAAATGATTGAAGCCAGGATTCAAATCCAGGAGTGTCTTTTAATTTCATTTTCTATTTCCTACATCTATAATAGTGTTTGGAGTCCTGGTGTGGTGTTGCAGTTTAATATGCTGGGCTGCAAGGTCAGTGGTTTAAGCTCATGAGTTGCTCCTTGAAAACACTATACAGGGTCTCTATGAGTCAGAACCGACTAGGTGGCACTTAGTAAGCAAGCAAGCAAGCAATAAAAGTGTTTGGTAGTAAAGTTAACTAACTGAAAGCCAGTATCTTAGAAACTCCACATGGGATGAGACCTTGAGAAACTTGTTTTAAGTCAGAGCTACACTTACTACAATCATCCTAAAGTGTCTCCCAATGTTAATTTTCAGGCCAATATTTAAATCATCAAAGTATAGATCTGGAATGGATTTGAAGGCAATTTACTATTTTTGAGGAAATTGGAGTCTAGAAAGATGAGTGACTTGTTCAAGGTTATACAACCAGTAAGAGTTGGGGCTAGAGTTGTGTCTTAGTCCTCAGGTTCTTGGATTGGTACTCTTGTTACTGTGTTATGTTGTCTCTCTATATTTAAAGGAGCACAGTTCTACCCTAACATACATGGGTTTGCCATGAATCAGTATTGGCTTGGCAGCAATTGGTAATAGTAATATTTGTGAGTTTTGAGCCAGAGAGATAGTTGAATTAATTCTTGAGGCAATTTTGGAAACATTAAAAGCTAAAGATGACATCATGTACATAAAAAACAACACAAAACCCATTAACATTGAATTGATTCCAACTTATGGAAAACCCATGTGTTACTAGTTGAACTGTTCCAAAAGGTCTTCTCTTGTTTTGTTTTGTTTTTGGCTATAATCTATATGGAAGCAGTTCATCAGGCCTTTGTTCCACTGAATTGAGTTTGAACTTCTTACCTTTAGATTAGCAGCCAATTGCAAACCACTTGCAATACCCAAGTTCCTATATAAACCTTTGCCATGGAATCGACTCCTCTTAGTGACCCTATAGCACAGAGTAGCGTTTCCAGAGCTCCCTAGGGCTTTTAAGGATGTAATCTTCATGGATGAGTCCTGTGGCACTGTGGTTAAAGGCTCAGCTGCTAACAGACCAGCCTAGAGAACCCTATGGGACGGTTCTACCCTGTCCTGCAGAATTTCTGTCAATCAGAATCAACTTGTTGCTAACAGGTTTAAACTTTATGGAAGGTGGAAATATCTGGTGGATTAGAATCACCTACCTTTTGGTTAGAAACAGAGTGATTAACCATTGCATCACCATGACACTGCGATTCCTCCGTAACAGTACCCATATTGAGAAACATTGAACAAAGTATGTATGGAAGGGTGGCATGGTCTTCCAAAGCCCTGTGAGGTGCTATTTGTTACTCTGACTTCCAATTTTGCTGGACAAGTCTCACCTGAGGTGGCTGGGCTTCTTCCTTGGGCTGAGGTGGTGTCTTTGGAGGCTGCTTTAAAGGCCGCTTTGGTGGTGGCTTTTTTGGATGAGGCTGGTTGGGTTTCTGAGTCTCCTGGGCTTGATCAGTCTTACTCTGGTGTTTGGGTTCTGAGGGAGCCGAGGGTTTCTTTGGGTGCCACGTGTTTGGTGGTGGCTGAGGCCACATGGGCATCTGTGGGAAGTGCTGAGGGGGCTGTAGGCCATTCCCATAAAAGGGGCCCAGTTGTGACATCTGAAAGGGAAGCAAATAACAATAAAATTACACCAATAATTGAGATTCAAGGTACTTGAGAATCATAGGGAATTTGACTCAACAATGGAAGCTAAAAAATCTTTAGCTTGAATTTCATTTAAATGTTATTTTAAAGAAACGAAATTTAGATCTTTAGGACGCCAATTAAGATAACTTATCAAAAAGCAGAATTAGTTGAGAAATTTCAGTTAGAAAATTCGACTGATGATTTTCTAAATCTGAAGCTCTGCTTAGATAAGAAGTCTACTGGCCAGGGTAGAGAAGAATTTGGTATCAAATTAAAAACCTTTTGGTTTGTTATAAGGCTGGGCAATGAGGAGAAAAAGCAACAACAAACAATAACAACAACAAAACAAATAAAAGTAGTGAGACTGGAGAGAGAGAAAGAGAGAGAAAGATAAGAGAGAGAAAGGCTAAAACTGCCTATGGAAATCTTATCCTTCTTGGGTACAGGTGGATCCTGGTGAATTCAGTTTTTATTATTGGTACCTCCACAAATACAAGGTTGGGTTGGAAAGCAAAAGTAGTTATAGTCTGAAAATGTTAATTTATTTCTTGATCTATGAAATAGTCCCCATTCAAACATTCCCTCCTTAGCTTAACACTTGTTGTTGTTGTTGTTAGGTGCCATCAAGTTGGAACTGACTCATAGCAACCCCACGCACAGCTGAATGAAACAATGTCCGATCCTGGGCCAACCTCACTATCGCTGCCACACTTGA